GAAAACGTCAAGGAGTATGAATGGCCATTGAAGAGCTGAGGATGATGGGCAATGAGAGTCATGGGACAGGTTTATACAGGGCTGCACCCGTTCTGACTGATTTCATCTGTGTTTAGAAACACTGGTTTCTGAAGCCATGCATGTCTTTGAAAATTATAGAGAGGCAGCAGTGTTTCTCTCACCTAATCAAAAACAAACAAACAAATTGCGTGGATGAAGCAGCACTGAGTTCGGAAGGTGTGTTGGGGATGGGATGGGGTAGCAAAGCTACTTCTCAGGCAAGGATACATAAAAGTTGGTAGAAAGAAATCAGCCAACACATCCTTTAGAGGAGCCTCTGAACATCAGGCAACGTCCATTTTACTTATAAATACACAGGGCTGTGTGTGGCTGAGGAAATAAGAATTCTTGCTGTGCAGGTGTAAGGACTTTAGTTCAAATCCCCAGAACTCGTGGTAAATGAGAATGGCCTCCATAGACTCATCTGTTTGAATACTTGGTCCCTATTTGGTGGAATTGTTTGGGAAGGGTGAGAAGGTGTGGTCTTGTTGGAATAGGTATCTCACTAAGGGCAGACTTAAAAGTTTCAAAGGATTTCTGCATCCTGTCCCGTCCCTCCCTTATGGATGTGTCTCGAGGTGTGAGCTCTCAGCTACTGCTTCAGCACCACACTTGCCTGCCTGCTGCCATGAACCCTCTGAAACTGTAAGCCCCAATAGCAACTTTCTTTTGCAAGTTGCCTTGGTCATGGTATCTTATCACAGGAATAGTAAAACAACTAAGACACCCGAATCAAAAACGGTCTGATTGTTTGGGATGCTAGAGCCCCGGTGCTGTGAGGAGATGGAAATAGGATGATCTCTGAGGTTGCTGGGTGACAGCTTCATTCCAGGTTCAGTGAAAACTCTCTCAAATAAGATGGAACATGATAAAGCAGGACACTTGACATGCTTCTCGAACCTCCAAGCACACAAGTCACCACTACCACCACCACCACTTACAACCCAATTTACTCAGTATTGACAGGAAGAGCAAAGTTCTGTAGACTGGTCCAGCCACAGAGAGGAAGATATATTGGTAGAGCGATGCCAGACTTGTTCTTTAGCTCCGCGACAGAATTTCAAATAGCAGGAGGAGCCATAGAAAGGTGAGTGGACAGGTGTCCTGCCCTGGGGGAGACTGGCATGTCACTACAGAGCGTCCCTGGTACATTCAGACCCAGTCACTGACTGCGAGCTTACCCAGGCTGAGGTCGAATGCCCAAAATACTCCAATCAGGAGCTGAATTTGGTTTAACTTCTGTGGTTCTGGTTTAGTACGAAATTTTTTTTTACTCACTGTTGTTTATTCCTGTGCTCAACAAATCTTCCGTGAAGCCTGTGCCCATCGCCGTCCCAGCTTCTTAGAACCCAACAAGGCAAGGGCCAGATTGTACCTCCTCTGTGTGGGGTGCTTGGGGCATTTCTCTTGTGGCTTGTCTGTAGTCAGTTGTCATGCCAGAGGCACCCTCCAGCTCAGAGATGACATCGTGGGCGTCTCCCCCACCATCTACTTCTGACTGATAGCATCAATCAGCTTCGTTCCTTTCAGTCACTCTCGCCCCTCTGCTTCACCGGGATGGCCCCTTAGAGGAGGTCGCTGCCAGAGAAGGTGCATTTCCCAGGAGTCAGTGGGAGAGTTGTTTTATTTCTTCCTTGATCCCTGGCAAGGACTCTGATTTTTCAACTAATGTGGCAGAAGACATCAATAGGAAAAGAAAAATAAGAACTTCCTTCCCCATTTCCTTGCCAGCGTTGCTTAGCTACCTTGTCAACATCCCCCCACAGCTCAGCAGAGTTCTCTCTGCATACTTTTATTGGGCATTTGTTTTATTGCTAAAGTTGATCTATTAAGCAGAAAATATGGAGAACACATGGAGTGGCTGTCAGTTTTACGCTTTTTGTTTGGATTTCTGTTTTTTCTATTTCCAGAGACCTTGTGCCCTCTTCATTCCCAGGTCAAGTGACACACTGAAGGGATGGCATCCGTGTCCACATTTGTGTCTTAGACTTTGGGGTACGAAAAGCAAAAGTTTAGACTGACCCCAAATTGAACACTGAATTGTGAGGTCTTCATAGTTGGAGGCCGAGTTTTAATTAATTCTGCACCCTTGCTCCCTAGCCCTGTGTCTTCTGAATAAATGGGCCTTAGTAAATGTTTTTCAGTTAATGAGCAGTTGGCTTCAAATATTTATTGAAATCTGGCATTACAATGGATGCTATTCATAATTGAATTTTCTTAGTGTTACTTTCCAGGGCTCAAAACTTATGACTTCTTTTTTTTCTTTCTTTCTTTTTCTGGACATCGGACAAAGACAGCGAATAACCACTATGTCATTATTAGCCTAAGAAACTTCTGGCATTCGGCTGCAGTGGCAGTAGCCACTCTCTGTGTGATATCACACAACAGTTTCCCCAGAGCCTGAAGGTGGTCGGTGGTCTGCTGTCCAGACCCACCCAGATCAGAAAGCCACCCCCTGCACCCCCATCCCCCACAGGCAAAGCCACCAAGTTGAAAACATTTGGGTCTTCTCACTCTTCCTCAATACATGCACCCTCGAGTGCAGACTCTGTGTATGAACAAACTGTTGGCAAAATCCACAAGAACTAGCTTATGTCTTCATCCCTTTAGTGGTCCAGCCCGCATGTCCTACCTAGGGCTTCAAGCGTTTGATTTCTAAGATGTTGGTAACGTGCAGGTTTAGATCTACTGGTCTGGGGGAAGCCAGAGAGCCTCCTTTTTAAACATACCCCCATCTGTGAAGCTCAGTGTCATCTCTGTGTATAGATCTGATGTCATTTGGGGCTTGTCTGAAGTACAGACCTTGAAGCTTCCACCTGTCTTTCAACATGACCTCAGGTCTCCATGTTAGTGTGTAATGAGCACTATGTCTGGTTTGATAACAGTGCTGGGGCTTGAACCCATGGCTTTGTACTTGTTGGGAAAGTACTCTGCCACTGAGTTACGTCTCCAACCTGATTTTGTTTGAAAAATGCCCTGATGGGACCTAATAGTGTGCATGCTAATTTAAAATTTCAAAAAGATACCTCAGGAGCTCATTCCTGTGTTGATGGCTTAACAAGTCATGTTCAGACGTGGGAAGTGGCAGAAGCCCCTCTGGGTGTGAAGAAGCAGCTCAGAGAGTTCATCCTTCAGTCCTCTGCGACAGGTTCTGTGCTGGCTCTTCTGATGCTGGCCTCAGCTCTGGGGTCACTTTGCTGTGGTTTGGCTCAAGTGGACCTATTATAATCTTTTGTGTCAAGGCCACACGGCAGCCTTCACCTCAACCCACCCTTTATTGGCAGTTTCTGGGGAATGTGTGTATAAAATGGAACGGGGACTGAGCTCTGGGTAGGGAGCTTCATAAACCAAAGGAAAGGCAGGATAAAAAACATCACAGCACAGGGTATGGGGCCGTGTGGAAAGTGTCTTTACAAGGGGCCAACAAACTAAATTTGGTGCCAGCTGTGCCTCCTGCTAGCCACAGGATATTGCCTAGCTGGTAATTCAGTCACCTAGGGATCCGTGAAGAATACTTGCTGTGAGTCTGCGCATCTTCCATGACTCTCTAGATCTTGCTAGAGTTTTCAGAGTCAAATGAAATAATGGACAACATTAGGCTTTCAAGTTTTCACCCACTAGATATGCATGGCCAAATAAATTCAAGTTAATTAAAGTAAGATAGATTACAAAGTTCCGTTCCTTAGTCACGCTGTCTACATCCAAGTACTCAAGACTACATGTGGATGGTGGGTGCCACATTGTATCCCAAGTGCATCCAACATGTACCTTGCCAGAGCAAGTTCTGCTGGACAGCTCCGCTCCAAAGGGCTCCTGGAAGTGGTATTAGGCACATAAAGGATGGCGCATTGTAGAGTGACAGCAGCTGTCATAGTCAGGGCTCCTTGCAAAGGAACCACTAACTTAAAGTCAGCAGAATTTAAAATCGATTTATCCGACCAATCCTGGGAGAACAAATGTATTTCAAAGGTAAGAAATGGGACTGTTTCCTAGATTGCCTGGAGCTAATGGAGCCTCTTTCTTCCTGTGTTCTCCTCATAGCAACTTGGGCGTGAGTTCTGTTTGCTTCTCTGTTTCAATAGCCACTGTTGCCTCTACTTCCTTCCCTCCTCCTCATCCTCCTCCTCTCCCTTTCCCTCCTTTCTTCCTCCTCCTCTTCTCCTTCTCCCTCCTTCCCTTCTCTTCTTCCTCCTTCCCTCCTTTCCTTCTCTCTCCTTCCTTCTTCCCTCCTTTTCCTCCTCTTTTTCCCCTTCCCTCTCCTATTCTTTTTTTTAAATTTATTTATTTACTAAAAATTTCCACCTCCTCCCATTTCCCTCCCCTCCCTCTCCTTCCCCTCTCCTATTCTTTCTCTTCTCCTCTTTGCCCTCTCCTTGTTCCTTTCATTTCTGTCTCTGTCTCTCTCTCTCAGCTCTGCAGTTCAGTTTTCTCAACTGCATTATACATGACCCACAAGGGCTTAAGTTGACCGTTTTGATCACTCCTTGCAGGTCTAGCAGATGCAGACCCCTGGCTCCTTTTAGGCTCCTGGTATGATAGCCACCTGGCCCCACCATCTCTCTTTGTGAAGTCAGAGACAATCTATGCTTACTCATTAGTCTCCAAAAAGGAGTAGACATGCAATAGGACGGAATCATTGCCCAACACACTCTTGGCACCTTGGAAAAGCCCTTAGCTTTGGATCAAACAGAGAAGTGCCAGCAAGGATTTGACAGGGACCACACAGAACAAAAGGGTAGCACTCTTTCTTCTTTAGTTGTTTGCATAGCTCGCAGTACCAGTGCACCCCGCAGGGCAATAGTTTAACCTCCACATTCATATACAAGACCCATAGGAACTAAGCACAGCCAGGAATGCAAGGTGGAAATTTCCCTAAACCTTTCTTAGTTCTTACACGCAAACTGAGCACTCATAAGTTCCCTTTTCTTTTCCACCTTTAGGAAGGAACATGAGGTTCCCTTGGAGATCATTCAAGAGGAAGATGGAAGGAGCCATTTAAAATCGAATTAAACTGCAGGCTGCAAGACTGGGGCCTGAGGGCTGGCAGTGGAAAACTCTGTTGGGCTGTGATCTCTCACTGAAAAGTCCCACGTGCCTTTTTGCTTCCTGCAAAAGGAAGGAAGACAAGGAGGAGACCATGTCTATAGCCTTGAAGCAAGTGTTCAACAAGGACAAGACCTTCCGGCCCAAGAGGAAATTTGAACCTGGCACGCAGAGGTTCGAGCTGCATAAACGAGCTCAGGCATCCCTCAACTCGGGTGTGGACCTGAGAGCAGCTGTGCAGTTACCCAGCGGGGAGGACCAGAATGACTGGGTGGCGGTGCACGTGGTGGACTTCTTCAATCGCATTAACCTCATCTACGGCACCATCTGTGAGTTCTGCACTGAGCGGACCTGCCCCGTGATGTCAGGGGGTCCCAAGTACGAGTATCGGTGGCAAGACGACCTCAAGTATAAGAAGCCAACTGCACTACCAGCTCCCCAGTACATGAACCTGCTTATGGATTGGATTGAAGTCCAGATCAACAATGAGGACATATTTCCGACATGTGTTGGTGAGTGCCTCGAAATTTTAACGTGTTTTTTGGTATTTTGTCCCATTCTGTCCAGAGGTGATAAAATTTTCACAGTATGAGTCTTATACTGTCTTTGAATACTAGATCGCAGCCACGTCAATGTTTCCCTAAATTCCATCAGCTATATATCTGATACGCATGAATCTGATTAAAATGGGTGGAGCTCATTCACGGTCTATTTGTGATCTTGTGGAGTTCAGTGTTATACATTCTTCATGCTTGGGAGTGTTAGGAAATGTTAGATAGGATCTTCTTAGGGCTAGATTCCAATTCTACTCAGCCTGGTAAGATTTTTGGTTTTTGGCTAATTGACGTGCAAGGTTGCATGGATTGGGGTGTGACTACTGTTGGTATTAACTTTTCAAGACTAAAAATCACATTATGGGAATCTACAAATTAGTTGGGCAACAAGCCCACAGGGGTTCATATCCTAGGGAAATAAAGATCCTGGCATTTGCGTCTCTTCTAATCACGGTGACTGCATTTCCGGGCTATACTGTTAACTCTCTTAACTGCCAGGCAGACTGGAATGTTTGCAGATATTTCGGCTTGTTTTGTGCAATCAACCATCCAGCATAGGGGTTTGGACTCAGTCTTTCCTTCCTATTTGTGTTGCTAGCTATTGGATTCCTGTGTGTGGACAGGCTGGGTCTGGGATTCGTTGCTTCACATCCAAGGCTCAGTAGGAATGAGAACTCCTGTTTCTTTTGCCATGTCTCCAGTTCTTAGCACAGAGCCAGGAGCCTGCATGGGCACTCATGAATTACTCTTGTCCTATCGGGAGAGGACAAAAAACATGTGTGTAGTACGTGATGTATGCACATGAAAACACATAGTGAAGTCTGTTGAAATCTTTGCAGATGGAGAGGTGTCCCCAAGTTGAGAAGGGATGTATGGAAATAATTAGGTTTATACTGGAAAAAAAAAAAAGGACATAAATTGATTGGTGCAGTATGGTGCGTCTTTTTTTTTTTTTTTTCTTTTTTGGTATGGTGCATCTTGAAGTATTCAGCACATAAACCAGTTTGTCAGGGTCCTGGCTTCGCCTTAACTTGTCTAGTCTCTTCATGCTTTCCTCTCCTGTCCCTTGTTGCCAGAAAGGAGGTGAGGTGTTCAGTATTGCCTAGGAGTTTCCCAGAAACCCTCTTGAGTAGGTATTCCACATCTCTGAAGGGTGGGAAATCCTTCATTCTTATCTTCATGCACTTTAATTTTACTATGAGAGGCTGCTTGTGCTAGGAGGAACTGTTAATGTCATGTGCAGAGTGTCTAATATAGCAAGAATGATTCCGTATCATCCTTCTGATGTTGGCTTCAGAGTACTCTGAACTCTGGGCACTGCCGTCATGGCCACTTTGAGCTGCAGAACGAATATCTCAGTACAGCACCCTTGGATTGCTTGAGAGGGAGGCAGCTTCTGGATATCTGTTTGGGGAATAGAGAGCATCACAGGTGATTTTAGACTGTGTTCTTGGGAGTACCAGATGTCTCCGTGTTCCCATAGAAAATAATAGCACTTTCTTTTCTAGGTGTTTCCTTCATCATTTTGCATACAGACTGAATTCTCTGTCTCTTTGCTCCACAGCATCGATGTTCTGAGGAATCTTAGCAGGATTCCTTCTGAGAAAAAAATAAATTCGGGAAATTTGGAGGAAGCTGAGGATTTGTCTTTCAGCATAGGGTTCTTAGTATGTCAATGTGCATTTTAGGAATTTCCAAGAAGAGTACTTTGAAGTGTGTTATTTTAAACACTTCGTCTGTGTGTGTGTAAAGGCAAATGCCAGGTGTGTGTGTGTGTGGAGGTCAGAGTACAACTTGCAAGAACTGGTTCTCTCCTTCGGCCTAGTGCATCCCAGGAGAGAACCAGGTTACCAGGCTTGTGGGAAAGCACCTTTACCTGCTGGCCCTGATAAAAGAGTTTTCGGTGTGTGTGTTTCCATGCTTGACGTGGTGCTTTATTCTTCCTTTTAAAATGGAATTCATTCACAGGTGTCATCTGTTTATTGTGTAGACAGGGTCTCTCTATGTGGCTCTGGCTGTTTGACACCTGTTGTAGGCAAGGCTGGTCTCTAACTCACAGGGGTCTACCTGCTCCCTCCTGAGTGCTGGGATTAGATGCTTGTTCCACTATTTACAGCTATTATTTTTAATTTTAAGGAAATATTAACTTATATAGATTAGAGTTTTCAGCATTATTTGGGCTTTCTATTCAAATATTCAAAACACAGTTTCCCTGATCTTGGGGAATACTTGCCCAGCATGGCCAAGGTCCTGGGTTTAAACCTTTAGCCCTGCCAATAGTAATAATAATAATAATAATAATAATAATAATAATAATAATAATAATAATAAATTTCTTAAATGCGACTTTAAAACCTGTAACTTAACATCAGACAACAAAAAGTATAGTTACTGTACTGTACAATTGTTCTTTTTCCTTTTTTGGCTAAAATTTTGTATCCTTTGAATAAAATCTCTCACTAGTCCCTGGTAACTTCCTTTCTACTCTATTCTTACAAACTAGGCATTTTTAGATTCTACATGTAAGATAGTGATGTAGGAGGTTCTTCTGTCTATGTGTTGCTTTCATTGGTTGAATAAAGAAACTGCCTTGGCCTTTTGATAGGGCAGCAAGATAGTATGATATTTGCCTTTGTGTGCCACACTCAGTTTATTCATGATTCATAAATTTCATATGTATTATTGCAAATGATGAAAGAGAGTGACAGACAGAGAGTTGCCACAAGTTCCCATGTGTTGGCCTGTTGGCCTGGAACTCACTCTATAGCCTTAGTTGGCCTGGACTGCTTCAGCTTTCCAAGTGGTAAGATCATAAATGTGTGTCACCACACCTGGCTAAGATTGCCTTTTAAGACTTCCTTATTTTTGCCGGGCGGTGGTGGCGCACGCCTTTAATCCCAGCACTCGGGAGGCAGAGGCAGGTGGATCTCTGTGAGTTCAAGACCAGCCTTGTCTACAGAGCTAGTTCCAGGACAGGCTCCAAAGCCACAGAGAAACCCTGTCTTGAAAAAAAAAAAAAAAAAGACTTCCTTATTTTTATTTATTTGTATGTTAAGAGAATGCCAGACTCCCAGGAGCTGGAGTTATGGGTGGTTGTGAGCTGCCATGTGGGTTCTGGGCAAAAAAACCCAAGTCCTCTGCGAGAGCAGTAAGTGCTCTTAACCACTGCGCTATTTCTCCAGCCCTGATTTCCTTCCTTTGAAAGACTGAAAATATTCCATTATGTATATATGCCACGTTTTCTTTATTCAGGCATATCCATTTGTATATTTGATGATTGAATACATAAATAACATATGTCTTACATTTTCATATGCCTGTCGGTTACTTACATGTCTTCTGCTGAGAAATGTCCACTCTACTGGGTAGTTTTATGTCAACTTGATACAAACTAGAGTCATCTGAGAGGACAGTATTTCAGTGAAGAAACTACCTCCATCAGATCAGCTGCAGACAAGCCTTTAGGGCATTTTTCTTAATTAGTTATTGATGTGGGCAGGCCCAGCTCATGTGAGTGGGGCCACCCCTGGGCTGGTGCTCCTGGGTTCTAGAAGAAAGCAGCTGAGGTACTGGAGAGATGGCTCAGGAGTTAAGAGCACTGGATAATCTTCCAGAGAACCTAGGTTCAGTTCCCAGTACCCACAAGGCAGTTCAAACTGTCTGTAACCCCAGTTCCAGGGGATTTATGGCACTAGGCAATGCATGTGGTACATAAATTATATAATCTGCAGATGCATCCAGGCAAAATAACCATACACATAAAATAAATGAATCTTTAAAGAAGAAAACAAAAACAGCTGAGCAAACCAGCCATACCTATTCAAACCACCACACCACCCCTCTGGTTTACCTAGCGCTTGTTTCCATGAGGTTTTTTTTCTGTGGTAGTTTGAATGTAATTGGTCCCATAAGTTCATAGGGAGTGACACCATGATGAGGTGTGGCATTGTCGAAGGAAACATGTCACTGTGGAGGCGGGCTTTGAGGTTTCTTGTGCTCAAGATACCCCCCCCCCAATGTCACAGTCTACTTCCTGTTGCCTTCCTGATCAAGGTGTAGCTAGCATCATGTCTACCTGCATGCCACCTTGCTCCCTGCCATGATGATAAAAGACTCAACCTCTGAAACTGCAAGCCAACCCCAGTTAAATGTTTTCCTTTGTAAGAGCTGCCATGGTCATGGTGTCTCTTCACAGCAAGATAACTCTAAGACACTTCCTTTCTTTCTTTTGTGTATGTCTGCATGTGTGATTCTATGTGCATGTGCGCACACACACGTGTTGTAAAACAACCTGAGACATCCCTCCTCAGGTCCTAGCTACCTATTTAATACATGATCTCTCTTGACCTGGAATTCACCAGTTAGACCAGGCTGATTGGGCCAATGAGCTTCAAGTATTCACCCATCTCTGCTTCTCCGGCACTGGGATTATAAGCATGTGCCATCAGTCTGGGTTATTTTGTTTTGTTTTGACATATAGACCAAAACCAGTTCTCATGGTACAAAGCAAGCTCTCTCCTGCCTGGCTTCATTCTCTAACATTTCTAACATGGCAAGCAAGGGGTCAGTGAAAAGCTCCAGCATCCACTGTCACCATGAGTGTTCATCGGCGTCCTACTTAGCTGAGGTTTGTTCTCAGGTGTTAGCGGGGCATTGGTGCTGTGTTTCAGAAGATGTGCTTCCTCCAGCGCACTCCACCGTGTCCCCTTCATCCTCCTTCCAAATCCATCCTACTGCCTCGCTTTTGATCTTTGTGTTGTTATGAGTCTTTCTCAGAAATGATCAAGATGTGTGTCAGGATAAAATAAAATTAAAAAAAACTTTAGGCAAACAGTTGATCCTGAGAGGATGAGAAACGGAGCGATCTGCTGAGAATTAGAAGCCTGGGCACGTGTCAGTGTTCCTGCCCAGGAACCAAGCAGGGTTCAAACTAACCTCCCCACTGTGATCCAAGGAAG